GAAATTTGCTATTTGGGCAATGAACTCTTTAGAAACTTTGGAGAGAGTCAGAAGAGAAATATCATATAGTAAATATAGTATAACATAGTAAATATAAACTTATAATTGTAAGCACATTTTACTAGTCCACCAAAGACGGGCGAGACCTGCTCGTGCGTATATATTTACATACCAGAGATCTGCAACGAGTATGTTCGACCACCCTTCCTGAAAATTCAATTCAAACAGTTCAGGCTCGGTCACTTCGTTTAAGATGAAACAAACCAGACTTTCGAGAATGAGCCCCACTCATGGCGAGAGCATGACCCAAAAATGTCTCCTCTCGAAAAATCTCCTAAAATACATGCCTTCAACGTCGTGGTCATTTATCCACCAAAAGAACACATCCATCCACGCTATCTGGGCAACACAATAGTATAACCATGGGATACAGCTACAGCCAAGACAGACAGACGGCTGGAAATAGAGAGTCAGATGGAAAAATCTTCTTGTAGAAAGCCCAAAGCTCACAAGCAGAGTAAAAAGGAATTAAAAAAAAAAAAAAAATGTCCGTGTTTTAAATAATAAATACAGCATATTTTTATATTATGTTATTCAGCATGATTTTAACTCAAATATCTTAGAGTAAATAAATCAATATAAATTAAATAGCATAACTATTTTTAATTAAAATAAAAAGGAAGGTGTTTGTTGGCGCAGATGCTGCTTTAGATTAGTATAGCTTAAGAGAAATATTTTAAGTTTAGGGCGTAAAGAGAGCGCGACAGCGGCCGTTTTACAGACGTTGCCTAGCGCCCTTTTTTCGCCGCCTTAGGCTTTTCTTAGCATGTAAGCCGAAATTTAGGTTGTAGTATTGTCGCACATCATCTTCGTTGTCGCCTCGCATAAAATATCGCAATTATAAAAAGCAAGCGTCCCAATTCTCTTCGATAATAAGTTCATTTATATAAAATAATATAAATTTTGATAGGCACCCGAGCTAGATTTTGTGATCAGCGGGCAAAAAAGGCCTAGACGATTGAAAAGCCTGGCAGTCACCGATAATATGTTCCGCCCACTGGATCAAGTCACATCCGTCGGCATTGTTAGTGTTTGTTTCGAACCGAGTTTCTCAAATCCAAGAGTGGTCCAGCCTTTCTCTTAAAACCAGAAGAAATTTGGCCTGTAAGCCACCTAAAATTTCAGCCAATTACGTTCTCAAAGTTATCGAAAGCTACTCGTTATATCTGAAATTGCTGAGGGTATTCGTTTGGGTTTTTCGATTCACACAAAGGTGCAGAAAAGTGTGGATCCCTTTGATAATATAGCCAAGCCAAGCGAATTCAATTTTGCATTCAACAGAATTGTTTAAGTCATCCAAGAAAAAGAGAACGCTTAACGCTAATTTACAGCGTCTGCGTCCATTCTTGCATGAGTTTGAAGAAGGCGGTTTCTTGTTTTCATTGCTGAGGGTGGGGGAAGATTATTGAATGCTCCTATCCTGTGCGAAGCCAAGTTTCCGTTGTTGCTTTCTAAAAATTCGCAATTCATAAGATCGTACATATCTTATTAGAATGTTTAAAATTACCATGCTGGCCCTAGATCGCTTGTGAGCCTGCTTCGTGAGCGTGTTTGGCTGGTTAACGCTCAGAATGCATCAGCTGCTTCAAATGGAAGCCCCGGTTGGCTTCCCAAGTTATGGGAAATCTTCCGACAGGCTCCAGCCGTTCCACTCGTTCAAAGTATGTTGTGTTGATTTTTGTGGCCCTAAAAGCGCAACGCTCCGCATCCGTGGCAAGCTACCATACAAGTCATACGGGGCTCTTTTTGTTTGTTTTGCCTCGAAAGCGGTTCCCTTAGAGCTTGTGTCAGACCTAATCACTGGTGCTTTTCTTTTGGCTGTTAAAATCCATCGACAGGAGAGGCGTCCAACGGAAAGTCTACTGCGACAACGCGACGAACTTCGTAGGAGCCGACCGGAAGCTGCAGGAGTTCCGAACGAGGTGGGAGAAGGAAGCGGAAGGCGTACGCGAATTTGCATCAAAAAAAGGATGCGTACATACCACCCACAGCACCTCACTTCGGCGGTCTATGGGAGGCAGGTGTCAAATCTGCAAAGCAACTGCTCATACGTATGGTGGGCAATGCGTTCCTGACCGCCGAATAGGTCGGAACTCTCCTGGTGATCGTCGAGGCGGTGCTGAACTCTCGGCCACTGGGGGCACTCAGCGCGGACCCCAACGACGGCGACGCACTAACCCCTTCTAACCACTTCCAAATCGGGCGGCCTCTTCTGGCGACTCCAGCTCCACCGCTCCCGGACATCGACAGCCAAACCTCCTTAAGGCGATGGCGCAATGCCTCGTGTCTCAAGCACAGGTTTTGCCAGCGATGGTCCCGAGAGTACATTTCGAGCCTATAGGTGCGAGCCATGTGGTTCCAGGAAGAACACAACGTCGTCGTGGGAGAACTCGTCGTGGTGGCCAAGGACAATGTCCTTCCGGGCGGGCCGGTGTTGGCGCAGATGCTGCTTTAGATTAGGATAGCTTAAGAGAAATATTTGGCTTTTAGTTTAGGGCGAAGAGAGAGCGACAGCCGTTTTACAGACGTTGCCTAGTGCCCTTTTTTCGCCTCCTTAGGCTTAGCTTAGCATGTAAGCCAATATGGAAGTTTAGTTGTAAAGTATAGTTCAATACACGTAATTGTCGCACATCACCTTCGTTGTCGTCTCGCATTAAATTTCGCAATTATAAAAAGCAAGCGTCCCAATTCTTTTCGATAATAAATTCATTTATATAAAACTAGCGTTCTGCCCTTGCTTCGCAAGGGTACTTTTACAAAAATTTTAAAAATTATACATTTAATAACACACACATTTAACACATATACACCCTTCCTTTTGCTATTAGTTACTAAGAAGAAGTAAAATTTATTTTGGACATTATTTTAATGATTTTTTGTTATTCTTTATTAGGTCAGAGGTTCTCTGTAAAAGATATTTGATGTTTTATTTTGTGGTAGCAAAATAAATTGATTTTCAGGAGCTCCGACTCGTGATAGGTCAACATACAGTAAAACATTGCTTTCGTATGTCGATCCCTTCTAATTCGAAGGCTTGGCCTTGGGGATACCGGAATACCATCAATTCATGTGGCGGCAGTGCAGAAGGGCTTAGGTAATTTAAATGTTTTCAATATTAATCACGGTGTCGATCGATTTGTAGTTTTTTATTTGGGTGGGGGCTTTTGAATAATATTGCCATAATATTTTTCGAGGATGATTATGAACTAACAGCAGTTTTTTAAGGTAATTATAGCCTGTACCCAAAGGGTAAGAGGCTATACTAGTTTTGTGCGAATGTATGTGACAGGCAGACTCCACAAAGTATATATATTATTGATCAGGGTGACAAGCCGAGTCGATATAGCCATGTCCGTCCGTCTGTATGAGCGCAAGGATCTCAGAAGGTGCAAGAGGTAGAATGACCAAACTTGGTATCCAGGTTCCCCTGAGCCCTAGGCAGGTCAAGTTTGTTTTTTTTTTTAGTCTGATACATAAAAATGTCTTCTATGTATGTATTAAATAAATTTTCTTTATTAACTTAAATAATTAATTCCATTTTTTTTAATAATTTCATTTAAAATTATTATTTTTTTTTTAATTTTCCTTTTTTGTGGAGAGTACAGGCTATTTTACTGTCGGGCTTGCTCGACTGTAGCGTTCTCTTATTGGCGTTTTAGTAAGGATTCTATTCTTTTTGCAAATATAATATAGCCCATGATAACCGTCGATAGTGTAGTTTCCCAAAAATGAAGGAATCCATTAAATCGGTCCAGTAGATTCGGAGCCTTTTCAATACAAACAAACAATCAAATCTTTCCTCTTTATAATATAAGTATAGATAATTTTTTCTTTTCGCTAATAAAAGTTTCGGTCCAACCGCTCATTCTGTTTTGTTTAAATAGTAATAGTAAGTTGAAGAAACACTCATAATGAATTTTTTATAAATGCAGCACATTATCTACATACAATATAAATTCGCTTTTAACACTATAATTCTAAACGTAATTTGGCTCCTCGTTTTAATCTTGGTTATAAAAATAGTGGTATTATTTAGGTTTATACTGTTTAATTCTAAGATACTTATGTATGTTTTACATACATATGTATATGCAATTGCTCTAAATTTATTTTCAAACTTTTACATAAATAAATGACAATGTATTTTGGAAAAATATATTGAAAAAATATTGTTTATAAATATTATTTTATATCTTTGTGTGAGGGGGTACAGGTTATTATAGTACTCCTTTCTTGTTTTAACTGGTTTCATTTTTTTTTACAGCAGGAGTGGGTAGAGGCTGAATAAGAGTTGGCCGTGCTAGTAATAAGTAAACAAAAAAATAATAATTTAAAAAATATTTAAAAGTCATCGGAAAGACTCAAGCCTTAACTGCAATCGAATTTTATAACTTCTACACGATCAATTCCAGCAATTTTATACGAAACCTTGATATTTTTGTTTGTATTTCATGCTGATGTTACCGCGGTAAAACAAGTTTCACAAGAATAATAATCTACATATTTAATATAATTTTAATATTATTTTCATTGATTACCGGTCTACTTTTCAAAAACTACAATCATCAACACTTATCACCTATTTGCTTTACTAGGTATGTTTAATTTACATATGTATGTACATGTCTAGGAGGACACACACACCTGATATTGTAGCTTCGAGTTCATTTCATACATTTTTCGACAGGATTGAAAATGCCAGTCTAAGGTAAACAAATATTACAATCGATTACTTTAATACTGTAGTCTAGTCTAGTCACTGTTGAATAGCAGCAATATCGATAGATTACATCTATTCACCAAGCTTGGCAATAGCCGGTCACTAGCAGTGATGGTGATTCTATCGATAGTTTTAAAACGATCCGTATGAAAATACAAATAAAACTATCGATAGTGCTAATAATAATTTGATGCCTGTAAGGTTCCTGCGCAGTAAAATTTTAAAACATAAAACAAGGAATGTTTGATCAGTGGTTGTAACGCACAACGTTTGTTTTAAAAGACGTGTTGGCTACAATAGTGTTCGTATATGACGAAAGCGTTAGCAATAACGAAGACAAACAGGAAAAGTGAGGGTGTGTGACATACACTGTGTGAAAGGTAGTATTATTATTAGCATTACTGTGCGCAATAAACTTTGCATTTATTTTTGCCGGTTTTCGGCATTGTTGGTGGTATTTTTGAAAAGTATGCAACTAAAATTTTTGTAAATTCAGTTGAAATATACAAATACGAATTTTTGACACGATAAATTAACTTGTTGCGTGCATTCCAGTTTCACGTTTTCTCTTGCTCACGCTAGCTTATTTTGACAGTTCACTCACGCGATCCGTGAATGACGCCATTTTTTATTGTGCGCTACTAGGCGTTGCTGACGCTGGCATAAAAAATTTTATTAGAAGACGTGCCTAAAAGTGTGCTACTTCGTAATATTCTAATCCTTGCACTATACATATGAATGTTCACAGGAATTCCAATGAGCAAGGAGGACAAAGGAACGACTGATGCAAGTCTCAGTAGTGGTGTGATCAAAGTTCTAGGTGTAGAACATAATCCGCCACCGAGAGAGAAACGTTCCGTCAATACACCCAGTAGTGGGACGCGTTTAAAACTTCTTAACGATGTTGCAGCAGCAGGTGGAGGGAAGGCCACATTGGGCTCGTATACTAAGCCAGATAAACGACTAAGCAGCGGCAGTTCCCGTATAAAAATACTCAATGAGGATAGCATAGCAACCAAGGCCGCTAAACGCAATAGCGCTGGCGCTTCCAATAAAACCATTCCGAACACAGCCACCGTCAAAATATTAAACGACAAACGCATTGTATCTGCTGCCACACCTATAGAAACAACAAAAATCAAGACACCGCCCACAAGGAAAAAGAAAATGGATCACTATGTGCTTCATGCTGTAAAAGGCGAAAATAATAAAGCTGATACAACCTGCAGTGTGATTGTTGATGATGATGATGATACTATAGACTTTATACTTGCAGAGGAAAATATCAACAACAAAGATCAGGCCAGCGAGCCAGTAGCCGAAGAGCTCACGGTATCTGAAGAAGAAGATGAAGATGGGGAAGAAGGAGAACCCCGTTCCAGTGCAAACAGTAGCGACATTAAAGAGATTGTAGAACACGTATGTGGAAAATGCTATAAAACATTTCGACGCGTCAAGAGTCTTAAGAAACACTTAGAGTTTTGCCGATACGATAGTGGATATCACTTGCGCAAGGCAGATATGTTGAAAAACCTGGATAAAATCGAAAAAGATGCTGTTGTCATGGAAAAAAAAGATATATGCTTCTGTTGCAGTGAAAGCTATGACACTTTTCATGTGAGTTTGCTTTGATTATTTTATGACATTTTTTAAAATTAATTGCCCTGTTCTATAGCTGGGCCATATTAATTGTCCTGACTGTCCGAAGTCGTTTAAAACCCAGACAAGTTACGAGCGTCATATTTTCATCACTCATTCGGAGTTTAATGATTTTCCTTGCTCTATTTGCAATGCAAAGTTGCGCAGCGAAGCTCTTCTTAAACTGCACGAAGAACAGCACAAGATACGTGGAAAGCCATATGCATGCAAAATATGCGGGAAGGACTTCACGCGTTCCTATCATCTTAAGCGCCATCAAAAATACTCATCTTGCTCAGCCAGTGAGAACGATACCATGAGTTGCAAAGTGTGCGATAGAGTGTTTTATCGACTAGACAACTTGCGCGCCCACCTGAAACAGCATTTAGGCACACAAGTCGTAAAAAAACCAGAATACATGTGTCACATTTGCAAGAACTGTTTTTACAGCCTGTCCACGCTAAAGTAAGTAACCTTATACGTGTTGCACCCAATGGACATGGTTTCATAAGATTTAGTACTAATTTATAAAATGTCGCCAAGATTAAAAAACATTGCTTAATACTTTTTCCACTTGCTTTTTATACTCTGTACATGAAATGTACAGAAGTATATTAGGTTTGCGGGAGCTGAAAAATGTAACAGGCAGAAGGAGGCGTGGCAGACCCTACAATGTATATACATATATTCTTGATCAGCATGACGAGACGAGTCGATCTAGCCCTGTCTGTCTGTCCGTCCGTATGAACACCTGGATCTCAGAGACTATAAGAGATAGAGACACCAAATTTTGCACGAAGATGCCTTATGTGTGTATTCTATACGAGTTTTTTTTTTTTTTTTTGATTTCCCCCCCCATTTCCCCCTTATGGGGGTTGCCCGATTTTTTCGTATAATCGCCTATATCTAAGAGACTATAAGACCTACGGACACAACATTTTAGTCCCAGATACCTTATGAGAATACGCAGAAAATGTCTATTTTGGAATTTCCCTCCCTCTCCTCCGCAAATCGCGATTTTCTCTAACTCCCGTAATTCTTGGAATTTCGAACGCAAATTTTGCAAATGCCTTTAGTTAGTTATTATGTGTCCGTATGCCATGTTTCAGTATGATAGACCGATTTAACAAGAAGTTATAGCCATAAATATATGTGCTGCTGCAGCGATGCTCAAGCGCTGCCCGCGGCTGTTGTTGATGTTGTTGTTTGGTTGACTGCGAAAATGCTTACACAGACACAAATAGACGCGCATAAACATTCATACACTCACATAGACGCAATTGCTTTGTATATGTGCAATTATTCACCCTTTACGTGAGTTCGAATACCAAAAGAGGTAAAATCGATCAAATTCAAATTAATTCTCTTACTTTTTTAATTTCTATAATTATTCTAAACATATGTACAGAGTATTTCAAAGTCGGGACACCCGACTTTAGCTTTTTTACTTGTTACTATTGCATCATATAGACATCATAGACACTAATTTTCGCTTTAGTGAATAAGTTGGAACCAAATGTTAGTTTTGTTTACACTGTATTCATCTCTATTTCATGAAGTCATTTTAAAACACGCCATGATGTTTTTCAGTAACTCCGCAAAAAGTTTCGTAACAGGTAAGGGGTCGTGGGAGATCCCACAAAGTGTATACCTATATTCATGATCAGCATAACAAAACGAGAGGATGTATACCTGTCCGCCCGAATAAACATCTAGATCTGAGCTCTAGTGGCACTAACAATTTTTTATTTTTAATATTAAATAGTTTTCAATTTATATATTTTTCAAAGCCCGAAATGTTTTCCATGAAACCTCCGAAAACTGAATGTTTAACCTCAACTTTCCTATTACAGCATTCACATACGCACCCACACGGGTGAAAAGCCTTTTGATTGCGATCTGTGTGACAAGAAATTCTCTGCTTTGGTAGCGCTTAAGAAGCATCGGCGCTATCACACTGGTGAGAAGCCTTACAGTTGCACAGTGGTAGGTATCATAAAGCAGTCCTAACTCGTCCAAGAATTTATTTTCCTTTTTTCCTTGCAAGTGCAATCAATCCTTTGCTGTCAAAGAAGTGCTTAATCGACACATGAAGCGTCACACGGGCGAGCGCCCGCACAAGTGTAATGAGTGCGGCAAAAGTTTCATACAAGCTACTCAGCTTCGTACGCATTCTAAAACACATTTGCGTCCGTATTCGTGCGACCAATGCGATGAGAAGTTTAAGACGGAGAAACAGTAAGTATATACTTCATGCCTAAAATTAAATTAATACTTGTTGTCACGCAGACTCGACCGACACATTAAGGATCACACGCGGCAAAAGCGCGCGTCATTCATTTGCTCGCTATGCAATCAGGGTTTTCGCACAGATGAACTGCTGAAACAGCACATAGAAGAGGGCAAACACACTCGTAAGTTAAAGAAATAATAATAATACCCAAATACTTTGCAAATCATTTAATTATTTTATGCCCGTTTTTATACCCTTTACCCAAAGGGTGGAAGGGTATACTAGTTTTGTTCGAGTGTAGAAAGTAGGTGAAAGTATTAGCCATAAATAAATTCGCTGCCCATGCTCTGCCTGAGGCTCTGCCCGCAGCTGGTGTTGTTGTTGCCGCATTAATTCAAATTTGTGCTGCATACATACACGCATATAAGCACGCAGACACGATTCGGATGTAAATTTATTCTATTGAAATTGTACATAAACACCTATGTATGTATGCATGTGTTGAATATTTTATATTTAATTAATTAATTAAATTTTAAAAATTAATTTTCATTTTTTTGTGGAGATTACAGGGTATTTGGGCTTGCTCGACTGTAGCGTTCTATCTTGTTTTGGCATAAATTCTAAAATCCAAGTTTGGTTCAGTTTGGGCAACTAATTCATATTTGTAGGTGCCACTTTCACTAACTTCAGTATGTTTAATTTGACACATATTTTAGTTCACAAACAAGATAGAACGCTACAGTCGAGCAAGCCCGACAGTAAAATACCCTGTACTCTCCACAAAAAAAGGAAAATTAAAAAAACAATTGCATCAGAAAAAATGAACAAACTCCTCCTTTCTCGGGCTTAGGAGAATTTAGATACCAATAAAATGTGTATTTGGGAATTCCCCTCCACCCCCCCCCCCCCCCCCCCCTCTCGCCGGCAATTAATGATTTTCCATAACTCCCGTAATTCTTGGAATTTTTGAAGAAAAGAATTAATGATTATGAGTCCGTGTGCCAAGTTTCATTATGATAGACCGATTTAACAGGAAGTTTTAACCATAAATATAATTGCCAAGCGCTGCCCGCAACTGTTGATGACGGCAAACATGCTCACACAGACGCAATTGCTATGTAAATGTGCAATTACACCCTTTACGTGAGTTCGAATACCGAGAGAGGTGAAATCGATACAATTTTTTAAAATTAAATATTCTTAATTATTTAATTTCTATAAATATTCTAAACATACATATGTGCAGAGTATTTCAAAGTCGGGACACCCGACTTTAGCTTCCCTACTTGTTAATATAATTTTTTGTGTCCAGTCTGTGTGAGTGTATGCCTATGCGCATCTATTCGTGTCTGTGTAAACATGTTAGCAGTCAACCAAACAGCAACATCAACAACAGCCGCGGGCAGCAGCAAATATATTTATGGCTATAACTTCTTGTTAAATCGGTCTATCATAGTGAAACTTGGCATACGGACACATAATAACTAACTGGGGGTATTTGCAAAATTTTAGAAATTCCAAGAATTACGGGAGTTACTATTTGCATGGGAGAGGGGGGAGGGAGGTAAATTCCAAAATATACATTTTCTGCGTATTCACATAAGGCATCTTGGACTACAATTTTGTGTTCCGAGGTCTTATAGTCCCCGAGATATAGGCGATTATACAGAATGGAAATTTGGGAAAACCCCCATAGGGAGGAAGTGGGGGGAAAATCAAAAAAATAAAACAAACTCGTACGACAGAAGAGAGTGAGAAATGAATTTTCAGGGCTTCTTTATCAAACACATCTATATATATAAAACAGTTTGTCCTGACTGAATGACTGACTGACTGATTGGTGATCAACGCACAGCCCAAACGGTAAAGGCTAGGAAGCTGAAATTTGGACTCAAGTATCCTTTCATAGTCTAGGTGCCCACTAAGAAGGGATTTTGGAAAATTCGAGCTCCAAAGGGGGGAAACAGGCTCCAACGTTTGTATGAAAAATCTACAGTTTTCATCTGATTAACTTAGTTGTATACTCTCAGAACAATTGCAAGAAAAACTGTATACTTGGTTTTTTGATATTTCTTTTGGGGTCTAAAATATGGGAGTTTTCCTGTAAAAAAATGTTGGGGCATAAAAGCAAACCGCGTCAACAGCCCACAGCCCACACGGTAAAAGCTAGAATGCTGAAATTTGCGCTCAAGTATCCTATCATGGTGTAGATGCGCACTAAGAAGGGATTTTGGAAAATTCGAACTGCAAAGGGGGGAAAACGAGCTCCAAAGTTTGTTTGAAAAATCCGCATTTTTTAGCCGATTGACATAAAACTTGGTTTCTGAAATCAATAAAAGAATACAAAGAAAACTGCATACTCGGTTTTTTTTGTTGAAGCTTGAATTATTGGGGTTTTCTTGGGGCACAAAAGGAAACCGCGTCAACAGCCCACAGCCCAAACGGTAAGAGCTAGAAAGCTGAAATTTGGGGTCAAGTATCCTATCATAGTGTAAATGTGCATTAAGAAGGGATTTTGGAAAATTCGAGCTCCAAAGGGGGGAAAACTTCAAACTTAGTTTCTAAAATCAATTAAATACAAACAAAACTGCATACTTAGATTTTCGAAATTTGTGTTGAAGCTTGAATTATTTGGGTTTTAATATTTATTCACTATTTCAAATGAAAAGTTTGTGTTATAAATTTAGTCCGATCGATTTAAAATTTGGGTAATGTAATCTACGTAACTAAATCTACAATTTTGCATTCAAGGATTTTCAAAATATGCATTTTACAAAAGCAGGCAGATCAAACAATACAAAATATCAAACAGTTGGTGACAACTAAGTATACATCCACACACACATGCAAGCAGCTGTTCGTGTAGTTGCGTGCAAACGATTGAAATAGCCAAAGCAAAATGTGAGACACTAATGTGTGAATGTCCATACATATGTGCACATCTATGTATGTACATATGTATGTATGTACATTCGTCTTGCAGTGACAGAGCAAGAAATGTTAATTAATTGAAAATTATATAACATTTTTAAAAGTAATGTTTTCTTTGTTTAGTGCATTTGGCAGTAGGGTTTTCATTAATAACTTTATGCAGCAACAACAAATATCAAATAGTTGGGGACATCACATACACACACTCACACACACAACAAGCAACAGTTCGTGTCTATGTGTGCGGTTCTCTACGTACGGTTGAAAAAGTAAAGAGAAACATACATATGTATGTATGTATGCCTGTGTATGAATATAGCATGTATGTACATTCGTATTAATGTATACATTGGGCAATCGAACACAGTTGTTTGATTGTAAAAAAAATAATGCTCTAAAAACAACAACAACTGCAAGTCATTGGCTCGCTCTTCTTTCGTTTTGACCATTTAATGTTAATTGCAAAGGCAAAACGCCAAAAGTTTGCAGTTACCGTCGCTAGGCAACGACTGCGTAAGCGATAGTAAAGCAGAAACCGAATAACGGAGCTACGCATATTCTGCTTCGCATTGCGGGCAGATGTATGTATGTACAATAAATATGTATGTCTCAATAAATAATTAGATTTTATTATTTAAATATTCTGCTTATTGCATTCAAACTTCGATATTTTGATGGTATCGGTGGCTTCAACTATCGAAAGTTTTACTCTAGCAAATTCAGATGAGAATTGTCAGTGCTTTTTGATCGTGGCTCATCGCTGCACGGCATTGACACGAGTGCCGTGTTTCATATTCCGAGTTTGTGCGTGACCGTATTGATAATATGGCACGAAAAGACTCAAATGTGAATTTAAAATTAGGATATACCCTTATAATTATTCCCCTTTTTTGCACATAGTCTATCTTAAAACGTTGCGTTATCTCTATATATAAAACAGTTTGTCCTGACTAATTGGTGATCAACGCACAGCCCAAACGGTAAAAGATGAAATTTGGACTCAAGTATCCTTTCATAGTATCCATCATAGTGTAGGAGCACACTAAGAAAGGCTTTTGGAAAATTCTAGCTCCAAAGGGGGGAAAACGAGCTTTAAAAAATATTAGTTATAGTGGTCATGTTCGTTTAACGAAATAGATTGGCAAGAACAAAAATGTAACGGACTACTGAACAATTTTTTGTGAAGAACAGAAAATGTTTATTTAAATACCATCCTACTGGTAACTTATAAGGTGAAAACATATGGGTAGGTTATGCACACACAAAATAAATACAATTGGAAGCATTATATTGAGCCGGGTTAAGACCTACTAGTACAAAATAAAACAAAACAAGAACACAAATTGGCGGGATCAAACGACTGAACAGAAAAACAATAACTTTACTGTACCCTTCAATACCTAGTCACTCACAAAAAAAATTTGTTTATAATTATTAAAGCTAAAAGGGTATACTAGTTTAGTGGGACTGTACATATAACTCACCACAAAGTATATACATATGTATGTTCTTGATCAGCTTAAGAAGACGAGTCAATATAGAAATGTCGGTCTGTGTAAACGCAAGGAAAGTATGATGGCTTGAATAGTTTTTGATAATCTAAAAAAAAATATTATATATATCTAAATATTAAAGTTGTATACATTTTTATCTATCGATTTTTCGATAAACTACTTTCAGCCAAGACCACGCGACCCAAACGCTCCGCGAAAGTTATTGAGCGCACCGACTGTGCCATTTGCGATAAAAATTTTGACAGTACCGACAGGCTACGCGCCCATATACGCAGCGTCCATGAATGTAATCCGGACGATATTTTCGGCACGGAGCCCCATGCCGCCAAACGCACAAAGAAGACAAAGAAGTTATTAGAGACTCCTTCAAACACATCTGGCTCGCTTATTTCCAGCAAAACGAACAGCAATGGCGTCGTTGTGCGCGAGTATCTTGTCGATGAGGGCGATGGTATTACACAGAGTATAACGCTTGAGAATGAAACCTACACTATATTGCCTTTGAACGAAAATCAGGAGTCGATAATAACAACAAATATTGAAACTGAAATTGCAGCTGCAACGCCTGATGTGAAGCCAGAATCAAAAGAGCAAATGTCACCCATGGTTAAGAAGGAACAGCGAAAGTCACTGGCAGCCAGCTTAGCAGCGGCCATAGCTGACAACGGCAGCGAATCTCTCAGTGACGATGAGCTTAACAGTGATGTTCTGTCCGAAAATGATTTAAAGCTAAAGGAGAATATAGGCAAGCTGATTGATATGCTGGTCGATCCGCCTACATTACAAAAGTATGGTTGGCCCAATACATCCGAAGAAACTGTACTCTGTAAGGTGATTGAAAACTGTGGCCATGACCTGACGCGAAGTGGCGAGAACTACGCAGAGTTGGACTATGGCACTCGAATGCGTGAATATGCGAAGCTCCTGTTTACTGTTGTCATACACAACGACTCCATCAAGTCACTTCTCAATAACTTTCCCATTGATGACGTTATTGAGTATGTACTGGGAAGTGACGATGATCAAGACGAGGGGAAGGATGATAAGGGCCGTGATCAGTTGGGGGCCAAAACTAGTGTCATCAATGTAGATGCTTAATATATGCAAAAAACACTATGAATGAACGGGCGAAGTTGAGTTTTAAAGATTTTGGTTGAGTTTGTATAATAAGTGGCCTTACACACAAATGTAAAATTATTGTTTCAAATTATTCAGTATGTTGTTTTTCTGAATTGCTGATTATATTTTCTACATGTACTGATGTTTATTAGAATTATTCTTGCACACTTATAGGCTTAAGGAGCTATAGCCTTTAGTGTATTGCGAGTGCATACATTTAAAATCAGGCGTTTAATTTGAAAATTTTTAAAACTTACGTGTTTGTAGGTTTATACATCTAATGTACCTAAACAGATATTTTATACTATTATATTTCTAATAAAGAATGCTAAAAAATCTTTATTTTCACAAATATGTAAATTTTCGATTCGGGAACGGAAAATCATCTTGAAGCAACAGTTTGCACATAACTGCAGCATTACTAACTTGTACGGGGGGTTCTATTTATGTTTCAAGAATGGGAAACACTGGTTGCTAACTTTCAAAAGTGACTACCATCGTGAAGTTTGACATTTTTTATCATAAACGACGTCACAATGTTTTGATGTACAAGTGCTACTTACAGTGAGTTAAGATCAATTTGGCCAAAAAATTGAAAGTTCAAGTGAATGTTTTCGTTGGATAATTTTTCACAAATTTCAACGTGGATTATCTCAACAAGAATGTGTCGATGGACTGTATGGCGATAAAGCACCATCAAAAGGACCATCGCTGGAATTGTGAATTCAATCGTGGTCGTAGTTTAATAGCCGACGAATTCCGTGAAGGTCGTCTAAAATCGCTTCTTGTGTCACAAGATAAAATGTGTAGCCGTTGGTTACCCCATAATTTATCAATAGCTCAACAAAAAGTTCGAGGAAGAAGAATAGCGAACTTGTTGCTGCAGTTTGAGGGGGTTGTACTGTAGAGAATTTGTTTCGTTAATAACTTTTCTTAGAATTGACCGAATTGGATACAATTATATATAAATTATGTGTGCAAAGTTTGGTTTAGGTAGCATTTGAAATGTGGACAGTATTGACGAAATTCTGCGTTCATACAGACGGACGGACATGGCTATATCGACTCGTATTCTCATCCTGATCAAGAATATATATACTTTGTGGGGTCTGCCACGCCTCCTTCTGCCTGTTACATACATTCGCACAAAACTAGTATACCCTTTCACCCTTTGGGTACAGGGTATAAAAATCGTGACCGGTGACGATTCATGGACATATGCGTATGAACCGGAAACAAAACAGCAATCGACCGTGTGGGTGTTCTATGACGAGCCAAATCCAACAAAAGTTGTTCACGCTCGAAGCACTGTGAAACAAATTCTGAGTGGTACACCGCCACAAACGAATCATTCTCCATCATGACAATGCACAGTGGTTGCGTCCATAGGCCAAAAATAAAACAAGAGAGAACGCTACAGTCGAGCAAGCCCGACAGAGTAAAATCGCCTGTACTGTCCACAAAAAAGAAAAATTTCAAACGAAAAATTTTTTTTTAAAATTAAATTATTAAAAAAATTGAATTACAAGTAGAATACATGTTTATGTTCAGCTTTAACAGCATACATTTACATCACGTGCCTATGCGTGTATGTATGCAGCTTTAAGTTGAACCAAAGCAGCAACAACAACAGTTGCGGGCAGCGCTGCCGGCAGAGCTGCAGGCAGCGCATGAGCAGCGATTTATTTATGGCTATAACTTTCAAATAACTACGAACTGGATGTATATGCCAAATTTTAGTTCAAAATTCCAAGAATTACCGGAGTTAGGAAAAACACGAATTGCGGGGGAGTGGGGGGTGTATCAGAAAAAAAAAACATAAGCTCGTTCTGCCTAGGGCTTAGGGGAACCTGAATGCCAAGTTTGGTTATCCTAGCTATTGTACTTGCTGAGATCGTTGCGCTCATACAGACAGACGGACAGACAGACGGACATGGCTATATCGACTTGTCTTGTCATCCTGATCAATAATATATATACTTTGTGGGGTCTGCCACGCCTCCTTCTGCCTGTTACATACATGCGCACAAAACTAGTATAGCCTTTCACCCTTTGGGTACAGGCTATAAAAAAAATCACAAAATATTTGGACAAAATGTAAATAAATTGACTCTTAATGGCAAACCGGGTTTTTCTGGAAATCTAACGGGACTTTCTAAAAATAGCATTGAAGGAATGAATAAGCGTTCATTTTTGCAACGCAACTGCGCTGAGAAAGCATTTTTATACTCTGTACATGAAATGTACAGAAGTATATTAGGTTTGCGGGAGCTGAAAAATGTAACAGGCAGAAGGAGGCGTGGCAGACCCCAACAAAGTATATATATTCTTGATCAGCATGACGAGTCGATCTAGCCCTGTCTGTCCGTCTGTCCGTCCGTATGAACACCTGGATCTCAGAGACTATAAGAGATAGAGACACCAAATTTTGCACAAAGATGCCTTATGTGTGTATTCTATACAAGTTTGTTTTATTTTTTTGATTTTCCCCCCCGCTTCCCCCCTATGGGGGTTTTCCCGATTTTCCATTCGTATAATCGCCTATATCTCGGAGACTATAAGACCTAGGAACAAATTTTAGTCCCAGATGCCTTATGTGAATACGCAGAAAATGTATATTTTGGAATTTCTCTCCCTCCCCCTCTACCCCGCAAATCGTAACTCCCGTAATTCTTGGAATTTCGAACTAAAATTTTGGAAATACCCTCAGTTGGTTATTATGTGTCCGTATGCTAAGTTTCACTATGATAGACCGATTTAACGAGAAGTTATAGCCATAAATATATTTGCTGCTCAAGCGCTGCCCGCGGATGTTGCTGTTTGGTTGACTGCGAAAATGCTTACACAGACACGAATAGATGCGCATAGGCATACATATACTCACACAGACGCAATTGCTATGTAAATGTGCAATTATAAACCCTTTACGTGAGTTCGAATACCGAGAGAGGTAAAATCGATCAAATTTTTTTTTTATTTTCTTAATTTTTTTAAATTTATATAATTATTCTAAACATATGTACAGAGTATTTCAAAGTCGGGACACCCGACTTTAGCTTTTTTACTTGTTAAATGTACATATGTATATTTTGCCGAGCAGGGCCAATTATGTTTGTCTATAAACCGAATAGGTGAGCCTTTAAACAATATGCGCAAAAGTAGAAGTGCGTTGTCTCGTAAAACAGCACAGCGAAAAGCGTTAGATTGGCACGGCGAATCTAGGTCAACTAACTTCGATTGCAGCTGCACTGGCAGCTGCAGAGACTAAGAAAAGGATAACAAAAGGAAATGTACAAAGAGAGCAAATATTGAGCGTGATCAAAGCAAACATCATAAGAGTTATTAAACGTTTAGCGCTTCTTGCTTCGCAGAGCAAGGTACCATTTATATATATGAATAATTATGCGTCTGCTGCGGACGACTGCGCTGCGTGCGCCTGCTGCTTGACCAAACACAGATATTTATAGTTAACTTGTCTAATTCTTCTAGTGAAATTAATTTGATCGAATTCATACTTTTTATGTATTTTATAAAATTATTTTTTAGGTTTAGTAAAGTTTTTAGTTGCGATCCCACAAAATTCCTAAATTGGTTTGTATGGCACTGTATTTGTCGGACTTTTAACTTAACAAATGTGTTGAAATTAGCTGCAGAAATGTTCAGATGTGTGTATAATCGCAAGTATACTTACGCCGTCCTACTTTTTCCAACGTCAGTTTTGCATTACACACTACATTTTTTTGCCTGTTGCGTGTTGCTCTGTCTTTGTATTCGTAGTTCTCGCAGAAAATGTATATTTTGTAATTTGGAATTCTTGGAATTTTTCATTGAAATTCGGAAAATACCTCCCATTAGTGATTATGAGTCCGTATGTCGAGTTTCATAATGATAGGCCTATTTAGCAGAAAGTTATAGCCATATATGTATATATGACCATGTAGTGCCCGCAGCTGTTGTTGTTACTGCTTTGTACAGGCTCACATACACACACATACACGCATAGATACGCATTATCTATTATATTATACTACACATATGTACAGAGTATATCGGGATACCCGACTTTAACATGTATATACATAAAATACATACATGCATAAATCTATAGATTGTGATTGTTCATGTACAGTTTCAACAGCATACATTTACATCAGAATCGTGTCTCTGCGTGTTTATATGCGTGTATGTATGCAGCACACAGTTGAACCCAAGCAGCAACAACAACAATAGCCGCGGGAAGCGCTGCCGGCAGCGCTACAAGCAGAGCATGGGCAGCGATTTTATTTATGGCTTTAACTTTCTTCAGAATTGAAGTATCATGATGAAACTTGGCAGACAGACACATAATCACTAACGATATGTAGTTACCAAATTCCAAGAACTACGGTAGTTATGAAAAAAACACGAATTGCGGGGGAGTGGGAGGGGGGTGTATCAGAATAAAAAAATAAACTTGACCTGCCTAGGGCTTATGGGAATCTGGATACCGAGTTTGGTTATTCTAGCTCTTCTACCTTCTGAGATCCGGACACGACTATATCGCCTTGTCTTGTCATCCTGATCAATAATATATATACTTTGTGGGGTATGCCACGCCTCCTTCTCGCTGTGTTCATACGGACAGACAGACTGCAAGACGGACAACAGACAGACAAAGATCAACTCGTCTTGTCATGCTGATCAAGAATATATATACTTTGTGGGGTCTGCCACGCCTCCTTCTGTCTGTTACATTTTTCAGCTCCCGCAAACCTAATATACTGTTGTACATTTTATGTACAGAGTATAATCACACTGATATCTCTATCGGAAGTATTTTTGGCTGCTAATTCCACACAAGACCGATCTGTGGGGTTCGTTCTTAGTCGGTCGGTTATATGAGACCTATGCGATATATGGGTGCGATCTGAATAAAATTCTATCAGGTGAGGTACAACTTTCTTTCTTCTAATGGATACAAACTACATTTTCTTCAATTCGGATAAAAAACAACAAATTTCGTGTACTAAGAGTTCATTCTGAATCGGTCAGTTATATTAGAGCTATATGATATAGTCATATGATCTTAACGATTTTCAGTCATCTTACCAC